ATATTATTCGTTATTTCTTATTTTATTCAAAGTTTTTAGTCAAATTCCAAATTTTCTCTCAAACCGTATACTTGTTTTTTAGTATAGATAGTATTTATAACAGATACACCCTGTATTTATAGATGGGTATATGCTTACATTTCATTGCAAAGGTTTATTGTAATTATTTTAATTATCTCGCTAGCTAGAAGATGCGTTTATTTGCAATTGGTTTTTGAAACTGTGTCTATCATAAGTATTTTTTATTACACAATCAACCATTTTATTTAATTGAAATGATATCGAACAGGCGTTACCGTATTCGCGAATTGTGCCACAATTAGCTAGCTATTTACCTTTTCAACTAATAAACAAATGAATCCGTATCATAAACAATTAACTCCTCCCAATTAAACAATAACCCGATAAATGCTGGCCCCTTTCAACTAATTGTCAAACTAAAACAAAAGCGACTTATAGTCTCCTGTTACTAAAAGTGCTTAATATTAAGTAATTATACTTAGTAGGGGTGTCCATAAACAACAATAATTCTTTTATATAAAAACGGTAATTTTTAAAATCTTTCTCTTTAGTATCACTTACGATTAGTATCACTTCATCTCTCCACCCCTATTAATTATCGCAAAACAATACGAGAAATATATATATATTGTTTAAATTTACTTTTTACGTACTTACTCTTCAAAAAAAATTAATATAATATAACTAAATCTTCGTTTAAATATATTGTAGCTGTACGATACTGTTCTTTTAGAGGTATGGATTGTGTATCAGCCACAAAATGCGTAGATATCATAAAAAAAATATGTATGCAAGGGAGAATAATTATTTGTTCAATTCACCAACCCTCCAAATACATTTTTGATGAATTTGACCAGGTAAGCTTATTTTAATCAATTTCATAATTAAAAATTACCTAAATTACTTCAAATACGCGCTCGATAGTAAACGGTATCCCTTACCCTACAATTTAGGACATTGTGTAGTCATAACGTATAAGGGTGGGTATGTTATAGCAGCTATTATTCCCGTAGTCTCTTATAAAAACACCCTCTATTGCATGGTCAGGAGTATTATTGAATTACAGTACCTACCACTAGAAAACCCGTTTCTTTTTCTAATATGCGAACGTGCCCCTTTATTTTAGAAATTAAATTCACTTAATTATTACAATTGCTTTATACATAAGTTTGTAGTTTTTCAAATCGTAAAACTAGTTATAAGAACAAACATATATATAAAATTTTTCCTTTGGCTTTCTCAATTTTCCTTTTAATTACTCCAATTTCCCATATTTTTCCTACTTGTTTCTTTCCATTACTTCTACTCGCATGTCCTAACAACCTAAGCAGGTTTGTTCTACAATCTTCTGTACTGAACATATTCCTACATCCTACCGAACGATCACGTTTTTTATTCTGTCAAATCTTGTGACTCCACATACTCTGAGATATTTCATTACCATTACATGTATTTTTTGATTTACTGATAATTAATTACAAAGGAAGCTTTGTTTTTCAATAGATTTGATATCATTTAAAGGTAAGAAAGAGATTCTTAAAAAAATTAATGGAAGCTTCAGATCAAAACACTTAACAGCTATACTAGGAGGAAGTGGATCCGGGAAGACAACCTTACTAAACATTTTAGCTGGATTATTGTAAGTATCCCGTAAGTTTTACAGGATTGTCTATTATTAAATAGAATTTTACCATAGGATTTAAATTACTAACCAATCAGCATTAAACCCTTCATCGATATTGCCAGTTTCATAATTGTATATCACAAAAACTCAAAAAGTTGTTCGTAATCCAATAATAATTTATGCTATTATAGGTATTTTTTGTATAAGAAAACTTTCAGGTNAACAATAGCTACGTACTGACTAGACTGTTTTCTGCATTTTCCTACACATGTAATAACGTATAACAATAAAAAAATAACTTCTAGCAATTGAGATTAGATATAAAGGTCAAACCAGCTATGTGTAGAATGTAGATATTGAATTGCAGATAAATTTTACAGTAATTTGTCGTACTCTGCAATAAAACATTATAAACATAATTTCATAATGGGTAAGTAAGTACCTATATAATATAAGTTAAACACAATTTGGTACAAAAAGAAAAGCAATGTTATAAAATTTAAAAGTAATTTACTGAAAGCTTTTTCATTAATTTCTTTTGTTTCCATTGAGTTAAACGAAACACGTTTTGGGAAAATTCGTTTGATTTTCTTTTAAGTTAACTACAGTTAACACTCGTTAACCATTCCTATTATTAGCATGGTTACTTAATTAACGAATATTTGTCAAAAAAGGTTACGTTTGTTTGTATTGTTTAACAACTTTAACTTGCTATTGTGAGTTATACCAAATGTGGGTAAAAAAAGTTACTTATTCCGCCATCTATCGAAATTCATCATTACCTTACAAACATACTTGGATGATATGAATAATAGATGGCGTTTAATAGGACACTCACTTAGTATTTTTCTAAACACTTGCGTCTTATTTTTGGTTTTATGTTTACTTTAATCTTTAAAATAAAATTTTTATAAACTTTATTAGTTACTTTTAAAAATAATAATCGAGCTCATGAATAGATCCCTTTTACCAAACTGGTGTAAGGTAACATTAATGTTTAAATGCAAATGTGAAATCATACCGCTGAATTGTATGTAGTTTGCATTAAAACCTTGACAATCAATTTGCAATTCCTTTTTGTTCTTACAGGTCATAAAAGGTCCTGAATAACAATTTCCAGTTTAATAACAAATTAAGTGACAAAAAAAAACAGCTTATCATGTAACCCAGTTACGAATTTATTTAGAACAAATATCAGCGACAGAGGCCTAGACCTAGTAAAAGAAATACATAATGAGTTACTCCTTGCTTTCACTTAACGGTTGAAGAACTAGACAAGATTTTTATTTATTTAACAGTTGTTTATAGGCAGTGATCGAATGGTGAAGCGTAAAATGTCTATAAACAACTG